CTTGTCGTAGTGCGGATGGCGACCAGGTCAAAGGTCTTTTACTTCCGGGTTGAGATTGTTAATGTGCCAAAGATTAAAATTTCTGACCTAATGAACTTAGCCAAAAGCATCAATATTAGTAATAAGCTTCGATTCCGATCTGGATGAGTTTTTATTTTACATAATACACATCTCCGCGGGCCGAACAATTTTTCGTCGCGTGCCGCATTTAGCCCGCTGGAAGAGAGGAACAACAAAGAACAACCAACAGCGTAAAGTACATTGCACGCCGATCCGTGAATCAGCGCTTAAAATAATGTTTCAGATGCATAGACTTGATTGGTACTATTTGTCGAATAATATTTTAACATGTTTCCATTGTAAGCTACCAGTTATGGTAAGTTTAAATTTCTTAGAATGTTTTACAGTAGCTAGTGTAGGATAAAATAACAAAACTTCTACACTAGTGCATCCCTGTTGCATATATCTCCCAGTTGTATCCGTAAATATAATACAATGTACACGACGTGTCAAAATGTATAACACTGAAGATTCCTGTGAAGTAGAAAGAAGTCAACGAAACTGGCTTATAATGTCACACATCCTCTTTTGACATAAAATACAGGCATCGTCTGATACAGGTTGCACTGTCAGTAGTTGTAATGCTGAGATTATTTAACATGAACAGATTTATTAATAATCATGTTAGGATACGAATAAAAAACATTTCAACATTTCATTCAGTACATTTCAACCAAACTCTATTCTATAAAGTCGCGCAACCTCTTCTATTATTTGCAAGTATTCGGTGAGAAGGTTTCAACCGACGATAATTTCAATATCGATATAGCTTAATGATAAATAATGCCATATTGGAATTCATATAAAGAACAGTAAAGTAGGTGGTTCTAAAGTAGATTTCAACTAATTTTGGTTTTTATAATGTCGCGCATCCTTTATTGTACTTGTGTACTATTTTATAATTAAACAAGCCGATCTGGTATAGCATTTCAGACATGTACGTGGTTGACGACTATAAAACAAAAACAAAACTTTACTTTAGAATATGAGTCAGCAATGAGTATTGAAGTTTCAAGGTAAATATTAGGCGCTAAAGAAGACAGTGTACCAATATAGAGGTAATTAATTTTTACATCAATCTGTATAAAGAGAATGGAACCTATGGGCAGGTGATATATTCACTTGGCTAACACAGACAGTCCCCGAACTCGTAAGAGAACTAAGATGAGGAAAATCGGAATAAAATTATGGCCTAACCCTTACCTGGTATACATACTACGGGAGTACCAAATATTTTAATCCATATTTCAGTTATATTAGTATTTGATGAAATGATGGTAACATGGTAGAATGCAAAATAACTCCAAATGATTTGCGTTACAAGCAAACTGAACGTATACAGGGTTGGCCAAAAGTTGTGTTTTAATTACTGTATCATTTGTCTGTGTTGACTGTAACCCCACTTTCGTAAAGGCAGGGAACAGTTATGAAATATTTTTCAAGGCCGTCAAGTCGCGAGTATGTGTGGACACGTCGTCTCTCATTTGAAATCAAGCATCAGTAAACTGTTATACCAGTTCATTTAACTTAAGAATTCAAAACGAAAAATCGCAACCAAGTTAGTTTCTAGGATGATATTTTGAACAATATCTTGTACAACAAATTATTTGTAGTACACAATTACGTTTAAAAACTGAAAGAAAAGTTAAGACGTATTCGTATGTCACTAATAACTCATTCCTCATTTGAAAACAGTATTTTCAGTGACCTTATCTTTTCGTTAGCCAGTAAGCGGGTAGGTAAACTTTATTCTAACAAATATTGAAAGTTCATAACCGCTTCACTTCCTATCCAGGTTATCGACGATTGTAACATTATTGTGAAAACACGCTGGCCTTACAATAGAAAGGAAGCATGTACCGACTTATGTATGCTCAGTGCTCATGCCAATCATTTGTCAATAACAGGTTATGTCGAGGACAAATGAAGCACAACCGGTGTCAGCAAACCGATGTTATTTGTCGACGTTTACAGTTTCTATTTTATCTATATCTTGCCTTAGGAAGTTTTTCTGAATATAATTTCGAAGGCGCCCCAGTAGTGTGTGTACCAATATGGAGGTACTAATTTTGTTCGCCCGCTCTACATCAAGTTGCGTAAAGGAACTGAAACCTATTAAAAGGGGGTATATTCATTTGGCTAACAGTCCCCGAATTCGTAATATAGCTAAGAAGGGAAAATCCGAATAAAATTATGGCCTAACCCCAACCTGGTACATATACTACGGGAGTACCATTTCGAAACCTCGGCCAACGTATAGGTTTCTTATTAACACCAGTTGTGCTTTATTTATCCTCGATATTGATATAACTGGTGGCAATCATTGCTCAAGTTGGTTGCCGGCCATTGGTAGCATCCAAGGCGTGTCTGTATGGTAACAGCAAGTTTTGAAGTTCAGAGTTATGCTACTATCCGACTTCCATATTTCACAATGACGCGTACAAGAGTTGGTTGTAGGATTCTTGAATATATACGTCGGCTCATTACATCGTGTTGTCAAAACCGGTTGTGCTTTATTTGTCCTCGACCTGGATATACATTGTCGCAAGCAAGTTGGTTGCCGGCCTTTCGTAGAAGCCAAAGCGTGCCTGTATGGTAGCAGCAAGTTCTGAAGTTACAGAGTTATGCTACTATCAAACTTCCATATTTTCAATGACGTGTCAGGGGTAGGTTGTAGGCTTTTTCAATATAAACGTTGGGAAATTACACCATGTTGCCAAAACCGGTTGTGCTTTATTTGTCCTGAACATGGATATACGTGCTCGCAATCATGTGCTAACACATGGCTAAGGAGGTTATAGGTGTTAATCATATTTCCCTTGCATTTATCGTCTGGTTATACCCTTTAACACGCTACAACCACAATAGGAGTACAAGTAGGGTTTAATCGGGGTTGCAGACAGAAAAGCTATTTGCTAATTATGACTACCACTGTATGATCTATTGTATACATTGATAGCTTGGCCAAAACAATACTCCTTTCAGCTTCTTATCTCACTCAGTAAGCGTACAAAAACACATCAAGTAGGGTTCGAACGGGGTTAAAGACGTAAAAGCTATTTGTGAGTTAAAACACGTCGAGGGCCTATTGTATGTATCGGTAGCATAGCCGATACATGATTTCAGTCACCCTCCCATCGCACTCACTTTATCACGCCATAACCGCAATGAGAGTAAGTGTACGAGTAAACACACTAAGTAGAGTTCGACTTGGCTTGAAAAGACAAAAGCTATTTGGAAATTATAGATACTTGTATGGCCTATTCTCTATTGCAGGGGTTCTCAAACTTTTGGTGTTGCGGAGCCCCTGAAAAGGTTGACCATTATTCGCGGAGCCCCAAAAGAAATGTTAAAATTGTAGCTTTCCGATAAATATTCCTGAGTAAGTTAAAAGTACTTAACTTAATTTAAAGGCTAAACCTTTTTTTAAGGGGGTTAATGCAAGTCATATAAATAAATCAAAATTTCAAAGATAAATTATATATACTCTTACTAAAGCTGTAAATTTGACACTTGACAAACATATTAATAAACTAGGGGTCGAATCTTTTCCCTTTTGACATTTTCGGAAGTCGTATTTTGCCCAGATCTTGTGATTTTTTTAACGGCGATATCTTGCTTAATAATAATCTCGAGTGCAAAAGAACAAATCAAGTTTAACAAATTCCAAGATCGCAAAAATACGACTCCAATTTATTCATAGGTGGCAGTTTATCACGTATTTTATGTTTTTCAGAATAGTATTCCTTCATTTTAGTAATCCTAATAGTAATCTCGAATGAAACTTGAGTAACTATGAGTACAATTGAATTATTACGAGACACTTTAAATGCTCGCATCGGCCATACATTGAATATTTTACGCAACAGAAATCTCGTTATCCGTTTTTTATAATCGCAAAGAATGTTGCGCGGAAATTTCCGATTCAAATCCCCACCTCTTGAGAATCCTGGCTGCGCTCCAGCTTATAAATAATGTCATTTTTCGATTCCGCCTCTTTGCCATATTTCGAGGCTATAATGTTGTCAAATTTTATCAAAGCTGTTATTGTTTCTTTGAACAGTTACAAAACTAGTCATTATTTTAAAAAGTAATCGGATAGCTCACGGAGCCCCTAGGTTTCTCTCGCGGAGCCCTGGGGCTCCGTACGGAGCACTTTGAGAACCTATGCTCTATTGTATATTCATTCAGTGAATAAGCGAAAGTAAGTTCACAAGATAAAACACACCAAGTGGGGTTCGACCGGGATTAAGGGCATAAAAGCTTTCAGTAAATTGTGAATACATAAATGGTCTATTGTATCTTTTGGTAGTATGGCCGATACACGATTCCTGTCACCTTGCCAGCGTACGCAGTATTGTATGACACGAGAAAAAATAATGACGTCGAATCTTCTTCAATTTCACCTATAAACCGCACGTGATTCATATGAAAAGAGCCGGTGCGCCTTTTTAACATTTTTTAACGATCTCCTATATAAAATTGAGTTCGGTCGATAATTACTTCAGAAGCATCTATCAGCACTGTTACGTGCTTTGATTGCAACAGAACAATTTTCAAAAACGTTATTAACAACTAACAAGATTTGTATCTTAAGTTATATCAAATTTTCAAATTGCGTTTTAATGTCGAAAAACGTTGCCAAAAGCAACTCAATGTTTTTGTATAGTTAAAACTAGCTATTTGCATTTTTAGTGTTTTATGTGAGCATTACAAAAATACTGTAATACTATATTGCTAAAAAGCAGCGTACCAAAAGCTTTTCCATAATATGACAAAAACTGATCTCGGAATAGGTATTTTTAGCGTCCGTATGTTTATTTGCCGATTTTCGCGTATGGTAATTAACAAATTAAGTGATAAAAAGCAGCATAACTAATAATTTAATTTGGTTTGCGAACAGTTTATCATAAAGACACTATACTTAAGACGCGTTTTACTGTAGTACCATGAAGTCTATCTTTGTCGGTTTGTTAATTGTGGCGATTATCATGCCATCACTTTCTGATAGTTCAGTAAAGAAAACGCAAAAAGGCAAATCCCCCAAAAAGTTGACATGGCGATTGTGGTGGAGAGTTTTTACGCTAACCAGAAGAGTTGTTGAACATGCCAGAAGAAGTCGACGAAGAGCAGGAATACCTCCTAGGTGAGCTTTATTTTAATATATTGAAATGCCTTACGCTTCGCTGTAATAAATCATGTGTTTTTCGTGATAGTATCACGCTGTTGGGGTTGCCAATAGTCTGCAAGTTACTATAAATGAATCATGAGGCCAAAAATGACACAAAAATATGATTATAGCTATTCAAATTATGAGGATTGTATTTGCACTGTTTCGAAGTGCATTTTATTTTAAGTTTTTTCATAACGGAAATAGACTTCCATCTACTTTTCATTAGGTTATGTTACACTGGATCCCCATATCCTCAAACACGTTGCCCGCGACCTGGACCGACTCCGAGACCATATATAGATCCAGAAATAGTCAACAAGGTCAGTATATATAAGAATGTATATAAGAAAGATTGATCCAATCGCCCAATGTATTTATAACACAATTCTCAACCTACTGGATAACGATTATCATAAACGGCATATACGCCTGATTATTATGCGACTTGCTGTTTATTTGTTAAAAATGACTACAAAATCAGTAGGAAACCTTCCTCATTGTATTTATATCTTTAGTTTAGACTAGAGGTATCATTGCCATCACTACTGTAATTTAAGACAGCTTTTGAAGTACCTCACGTATCGTCCATATAATTTGCAAAATTTTGATTTATTTTAAATTGACCCAAATACGGTCAAAATCTCCCAATATTGAATCCTTGATTTACATTTTGAAATAAATAATACAATCTGTTGCTTATATAACCATATCCGTCAATATTAGACAAAACAAAATATATTACATCAAGCCCAAATGAAACCTTTTTATACAGGGTTCGACAAATGACGAACAAATTCAATACGCCGATCAAGATGGCTCAGACACGGGAGGGAGTCTCGGTGAGTTTCCCACTATATCAAACAACTCATTTGGCCAAAGCATCACCAATTCTTCAGAGCAGCAAATTTCAAACTTTTTGAGCCGCGCCAACTTTCTGGAGTCTGTACAGTCTCGCCTCAAAACCTCAAAAATACCTAACTAACAATAAGCAACAAATAATAGAGAGAGATTCTAGAATCTATCAAATAATAACTTGAAGTTGAACTCTTAAGCATGATCCACGTTAAGGATAATAAAGATACAAGCACAACAGTTCTCTGCAATCTCTGGACAATAAAGAAATATTCAAATTAAGTATTCAAATTAAGGCGAGAAAGATAAAATTCTACAAAAATGTTTATTTTTGGACACGTAGTGGACATAACGATCGTTTCAATATTATGTTGTTGTTGTTCTTGTTCTTGTTCTTGTTCTTGTTCTTGTTCTTGTTCTTGTTGTTCTTTGACACGTTTTTAAAAAGTCGCTTTTCTCTTCGAATACTGGACCAATTGCTTTGAAATTTTCAGTGGTTAAAGATTAATTTTTTCGCTAGAAGGCTATTACTTTTGTTTATTCTTAAATTTTATATGAATCCTATGAGATATGATATTTCATACAAAATTTCGCGGTATTTATTTTTACTCATGGGAACACTGTTTTACACTTATTTCAAGCGGTTTCGCGATCGATTGTCTTGCTCAGTACTACAGCTACTGTAGGTCGGTACTGGTAAGTTGCCATACAGGTACCGTAACGCAGTGAAATTGACTTATTCCTTCCGCGGTATTACTAATGCTGCAATGCAAGTTTTATAGCCTATCGTATGCGGAACGGAATATCAGACCTACAGGTTCGGTACCGGTACTGGTAGCTCAGTACGTAAGTACGATACTGGTACTGGTGTCTTACCACAATGAAATTACCGTAACTTATTCTTTCACGGTCCTACCAGTGCAGTAATGCAAGCGTTGTAGCACTTGTAGCCTACTATATTTGTTTATTTTGACGAGAGTCTACTGGAAACAACATAAAATTTGAAAGGGAAGAATTGTTCTGTGATCAATTATCTGTCCTAAAGTGTAAACAACATAAAATTTGCAAGGGAACAACTGTTCTGTGATCAATTACGGTACCGTATATGGCCTACAGTGTACAGGTAAGATGCTGGCTGACTGCTAACCGGTACTGGTAGCTCAGTACGTAAGTACGATACTGGTGCCGGTACCGGTGTCTTACCACAATGAAATTACCGTAACTTATTCTTTCACGGTCCTACCAGTGCAGTAATGCAAGCGTTGTAGCACTTGTAGCCTACTATATTTGTTTATTTTGATGAGAGTCTACTGGAAACAACATAAAATTTGAAAGGGAAGAATTGTTCTGTGATCAATTATCTGTCCTAAAGTGTAAACAACATAAAATTTGCAAGGGAACAACTGTTCTGTGATCAATTACCGTATATGGCCTACAGTGTACAGGTAAAATGCTGCCTGACTGCTAACTCAGTACCGCTTGACACGTTTTTAAAAGTCGCTTTTCTCTTCGAATACTGGACCAATTGCTTTGAAATTTTTAGTGGTTAAAGATAAAAATTTTCTCCAGAAGGCTATTACTTTTTTTTCGCTATGACGTCATCAAAATTATGTGACTCTACGTGTCCATATATTTGAGCATAGCTCTCTTGTTAGTTACCTAAAGGTTGACACAGGTTGTTTTTTATCAGTTTTATTCGCGGTCAAAAAATAGCTGTTTTATATTTTTCCGTAATTATTATGTCTATGAACTTGGCGCGACTAAAATAATGAAGTCGTTAAAGAATAAAAATTCAGAAATAGGTGTTCTCGGACATAAAGTCCAGTGGAATGTGCATCAAATTGAAACATTATGATGAAATTAAAATAATATAATTAACAATATTAAATACTTTTCAGATGAAGATGTTTTTGATTTTCTGGAGGCGATGGATCAAACAGACTTGCAAAATTAAGTCCTTCATCTATCGAAGAAATAAATTAGACATCAGCAAAGACACCTATTCTTAATCAAGACTGTTTGAAAACATGCGAATATGTTATACGGCTGATTTTTTTGTATATATTCAGCAAGAGTAATCGAAAGGATTATCGAGTATAACGCATTTACATATTATACATAATATAAATTTATTTAACCTGTGTGTCAATTGACTTTGCTCTTAAAATATGACAGGAAATGACAGTTCGTGCTTTCGGGTCAAAGGCCAGAGCCGTCCACTCTGAACAGCCTATGCCTAGAATACTATATTTCAATAAATCAGCTTATACTGCATGGTAATGTCGAGTTTTTTTCTGAGTGATAACCTGTCGCCGAATCTATTTATTTTGTTTATGTAGTCATTGTGAGAGAGAAGTGCTCTACGTCAATACACAGTCTGCGCACCCTACCATCACGGAAAGTCGCCTATGACGGCTGCGATATCTGTTTATCCAATACACGTTTTGTATGTATTCTAGATGAGCCCACATCACCAAGACAAGAATTAGTCGTATAAATCAACGTTTAGTTTTTAGGGGGACCTCATCAAGAGGCCTTCTAAAATTCCGAATGTCCGCAATTCGTCGAGTATGAAATGGCGAGATTAAAGAATAGAAAACCCGGGTGGTGGTGATCGTATAACACGCACATAGAAATTTTTAAAATAAGGAAAATGTAGTCCCAGGGCGCTAAACAAGATTTTACTTAAAAACATTTACGAATGGTCTAACTCAGAAGCCATTCATATTGATTAATCAATTTGAGACGGGCCAAATCCTTTGATTCCTATATTTTTAAATTCTAATTTAGTAACTTCACTCAACAATTCAAGGGGTTGTTATGGTTATATCAATTTTTCCAGTTATGACTTGTTTTTCCTGAATAAGTTAGACTATGATATCACGCATTTATTCCGCACTATGCATAAAAACTCAGTTACCGCTATTTGTTCAGTTTCAAATGGATCTTTATCTGGTTTCTTGAACAAGTCGCGCTCTTGTTTTTTCGCAAATTGTATGTCATAAAACGTTCTATGCTAATTTTAGTGAATCTACACCAAAGTATAGTATTTCTTCCCCAAAAAAACAGAAATACTCACAAGAATTAAAAAAATTCCGGTTAGAAAACGTTTACATAACAAAAGCTTATAAATATTGTTGCTATGTGGAATTTAAAGAAAGGGAGTGTATTATTCTAATTTATAACTCTGATGCTATCTCTTTCATTAAAACGACCCAGAGGTCGAATTTGATTTAAATAAAACGCGTCGCAGCCTTTTCTCTGTTTAAGATAACACATCTATAAAACAACAATGTACAATAAGCTGCTCCCATTATTAATTTATGAAAACATGGGAACACTTTTAGCTATTATACATGGTATCATTGACTTCCTCTTTTTTTGTTTTTGCGCAATTATTGTATTTCTTGGTTTTCGAAACTGTTGTAGGCATGTTCCTCACAACAAACGTCGACTGGTTTGAGGGTGTGTGTGAAAAAAATGGAAAATAACTCGAAAAATGCTATTCATGTAGTAACAACACCTTTTTTATAAGACTCTTATTAACGTCTTCCTCTGCGAACAAAGCCCTATACAAGCAACCGAAATGTAGAGGCTTACTGCATGTATTAATAATGCAGCGGACAGAAACTTTCGGTTCGACATTTCCTTCTCTATTCTTCGCACCCTGGGTGGAATGCATGCGATATGAAATCTGCAATGTCAACGAAGGTAAGTGTACGCTTCAACTGTTAGGATGTCGCGCTTTCAATAATATCGATTTGTCATTCAAGAAGGAACAACAAACAAGCATATACCAGCAGTCGGCAAAGAGTAAATTTTGAGTATAGTTCTGACATTTTATTCTTGAATTCGGTTTCACTAATCAGTGCTTTTTTACCAAATTCAACCCTGTTTCTAAGTAAGAATAGGATAGGACGATCCGCTGAATTGTTTATCTCGGAATAAACTCAGTATTTGAGAATATCATGGTAACCTTGTCGGATGAATTGTTAGCTGAGAATTCATTTAATCACACTTTCAAAATATAATTACTGACTGCTGTTTTCATTGATGAAGTATATACTTTTCGGAAGTCAGATTTTGGTGTAACTCCCTGTATTCTGTAAATATTGCTTATCTATTGTAACTCGAAATAAAAACTAATTTTTGTGCAGGACATAGTTCATTGAAGGAAGAACAGAATAGTCGGCTAGGGGTTAATACGGAAAATACGGTACAGAAAATGCTTTTTATAGAATTGATCCCCACTTATCTAAGATCGTTATGTGCCAATTGACTACACAATAAATTCTAGAAATATTGTTTTTATTTATCTAAAAATAAAAGGTAATTAATCTTAAGCAGAACATAGTAAAATATTTTGCAACAGTTGGATGAGATTTAATCTGAGAATACTTTCATTACGGAATGTTATTTCATTGATCAAATTGTTCCCTGTTCTCTAGAACTTTATCAACCTTACAACATCCCACTAATTTTGCTTACTCATTTTTTTAATTTTAATTTAATCTTTGATCAAAACAAGGTCCATGCAACTGTGAAAATGTATACGTCCTATATATTTTGAGAAAGTTGATTAAATAGTCGTTTACAACTGCAAACTTAAAAACTGTAATAAAACAACATATTTATTTTGTCCCATTCGATTATATTTTCATCAAATATATAACTTATTTCCATTTTAAAAAAAAATAAATTTCATTAGGAACATGGAGAATTAAAATTTATTACGCACGTTGTTTTATTAAGATAGTTATGTGACATAAAAAAAAATAATTCAAAATCAAATCCATATTAAGAATTATATTAAGTTGTATCACAAATTTACCCTTTAATCAATAAGATATCGCCAATATTTTTAGCGTTAGTTCCTCATTAGATTCCCTCATATTATTGGAAAATACTCCATAACCAAAACAAATTGCAATAAAAATGGGCTTTGAATATTTATTTCACCCCCAATAACAATTGTTAGAAATATATCCTATTTATTCCCAAATACTTATCTTGCCTTTACAGACTAACAAAAATTGTCAGCAATCATTTCGATATAAGTTATTTTTAATACATGTGGAATGAAAATTAAAGTCAGGTAAATCAAATACTATTTTTTTTTAACAAAACATGCTTCATTGACATGACTACTTTTAATAGAATATAAAGAAAACTTATTATTATTATTACAATTATTATTATTATTATTACAACTTATATTAGTTATGTATATTACTTAGATCAGGGCTGTGCAAGCTTTAATACAGTTGTGCCAGATATAAATAACTGGATAAACCGCGGGGCGCACTTTTATTTAACATAGGCTATCTAGTACTGTAGAGTTACACGCACAAAAATTTTGGTTATTGATCTTTTGGTATGCGTTGTTTGTATAAGCTAGCTGTTAATACAATGTACAGTCACAGGCATTGATATTAAATTGAACTCAAGTATATAGACTTCGCAGCGCTCATGTACCAATATGGAGGTGACTAATTTTGTTCGTCTATTTTACATCACGTTGTATAAAAAGAGGAAAGCCTATGGGCAAGGGGTATATTCACTTGGCTAACACAGGCAGTCCCGAAACTCGTTATAGTAATAAAATATAGAGAACCGGAATAAAATTTTGGCCTAACCCTAACCTGGTACACATATTACGGGAGTACCGGCCCGCGGGCCTCAGGTTGCACTAACTTATCTAACAAAACTTCCTACTTAAGTTTAACATTCTTGATGCTTTAAAATGAAAACATGTAGTTTCTGTAATACACGATAAATAATTTTGCATTTATAAAAATATCCCAATCTGAAATCATAAATGAGCGGTCTTTTCTATTGTATTTTTAACATTGATATTTAGCGTTGAGACAATGACTCCAGAATAATTATGCATCATCTTCCTGATATAAATATTGTTATTAAATCAACTACATATAATTCATATTCGGAAAATATTTTTTCGAATAACAATATCAATAACAAAAATATGAAGCTACGGTCCCGGAGTGGTGTTTTAGTGTTCAAGCCTTAGTTCAGTGCTGTAATTTTTATCTGGTAAGATTTGGTACGGTACTGGAAGCTGGACCAAAATTTTTGAAATTTATGGTCGTACTTATTGTGTGTCGAAGAGTTCAGCAGCTATCCTTCTCTTGGTCGTTTCGCCGTCTGTGACATGAGACAAACTGTTGCTGTTGGAGTCATCAAACATACTGCCAAAAAGTGCGTTAATAGGAAAGTAACCAAGGCAGCAAGAAAGGCCAATAAAAAGACCGGAAAGAAGTGACTGGAAGCATCTAGCGCCCATCAACAGCCTAAACCTAAAAATATTTTTGGGGAGTTTTTGATGTTGATGGGCGCTAGGTGCTTCCAGTCACTTCTTTCTAGTTTTTTTATTGACCTTTCTGCTGTCTTGGTTACTTTCACATTACTCTTTTCACATTACTCTTTTTTATTGCGCATGAGTTACATAAGGGTATACCAACCCAATATAGTGCCGAAGGAGTTCACAGCTTCATTAATACCATATCACTTGAAATTTCTTTTGCCTCTGAAAACAAAAAATTAAAAAAAAAATTAAAAAACAACAAAAACAATATAATAATTTGGTCTGAAATAAATTCTGGAACCTAGATAGTTCAGATTTTACAAAATAATGAAAACGTTCAAAGCTTAAGTGTTTACGTAAGAAGCAATTGTATCTGAAAAAGTTGGTTACTACTCCAAACATGTGCAATATAAAAATATTTTGTCACACATTAAGTATCATAAATAAGGATGTAGTAAAAAAAACATACATACCACATTTTACCACATTTTTTTTTTTCACATTCCCAAAGAGGGAAGGGTGTTCCACCCTCAACATATCATCAAAAGCGCTTGTTTGCAACAGCTGTCGAGTAATATTAAAAAAATATATTCGAAGCCCGGTTTAGAACAATAACAAAAAAATGAATG